CAACGTAAAAAGATCTCCGCCTCACCTTTCATTATTAACTCGAGAGGTTCCCCTTTGATGCACTGCCTGGTTACCCTTAACGTCTAATGGTTTTAAATTTGCCTTATTATTATGGAATGTGAAATATTATTTGGGATATGAATAAGCTAATGTGTTTTATAATAAAATCTTATTATAAAATGCATCAGCTAATTTATATTTCAAATAATACGACGGTAGGGTGGTTACAGTAAGAAAATTAAAATTTAACGTATAGGTAAGGTGGGGTTTTATAGATTTTGTTTGTTTTTTAGTTGAAGAGAACGTACTTACATACATATTCATGTAATATAAATGACGAATACTTTGTTATATTAGGTTATTTGGTAATTTGTAGTAAAAAGTCAAAGAAAAAAATTAAAGTAGATTGCTAAGCATCAAGAAAAGCATTTATTTCAATTTTTATTAATTTAAACGAGACGCTGTATAATGGGAGGAATTCATAAGTGTGATGAGAGAGACTGATTGTTCGTAACGGAGGGTTCTCCGTATCGGAGAGGGAAGTCAGATTTCTTTTAGTTGCCGTCTTTTGCAAGTTCTCTTTTCCGTTTTTAATTATTGAACCACTCATTCCTAATTATTATTATTAGCGCGAGGGAGTGGTGAAAATTGAGGGTCTCGAAGTAATATTGACCGCTCGGCTTGAGGTGCGTCGGGGGAGATTTTTTAATTGTACACGCTTTTGACTTTACTCTTGTTCTTTTGAGACGCTTCAATAAACTCGAATTTTACGGTGTCTCGCTTGTAGACGCTCTTTTATTACAGGAGTTTATTTGTTCTATTATTTAGATTTTAAATATCTTCTTATACATATTTGTTTATATTATATAGCTATTTTATTTTATATTCACAGTAAATTAACTGCTTGATTTAAAACTGATAAACCAATAAAACAGTTTTAAAATATAGATAGGGTTTACAACTACCTCAGGACATACTTTCACAGCCAATCCGCTAATGTCCCTAAACGTATCGGTTCGCATTAGAAACGAGTATTTTATATCCAAATTGCTGCTCTCTAAGCTTAAAATCCCCAGTAAGCCATGAAACCGAGATCAAAGGAGCTCTGTACCATTACGATTGTGGCTCATTTTTTATTTAGCCGGCGGAGAACTCTTATCTTAACGCCCCCGCCTACTTTATGATGTTATAAAGCTGATTTTTAATCTAACGGTGAGGGAAATTGCATCTCCTATTGAATTTCAATCTGAATTTGCAATTATTATCTTAAAACGTATTGAAACCCATTTTTATTAAATTTAGACAAAATTATTGCTGGCTTATTAAAAGATTGAGATTGATTTCTATCGAAATCGTAATACCTAATTATATTGAAATTGTATTTCAAATACAATGCAAGAAACTTAAAATGTTTATTCGCAATTATAAGTAACACGATAGGAAATACAAGGCGTAATGTTAGGCAATTGACATGACTTTTAGTATGCATATATAGTTTACAGAGCTTTCGAATCCCGTACTATATTTTTTTTAAACGGTTTTATTTAGCTTGCCCTGTTAACTTGAGCCAAATTTAGTAATCATTTATTAGTAAGAAATTTGTGTTACTATCTCTATAAGAAATGAAAGGGATGGTGTAGCAAACATGCGTCTCAGAACAATAGACTAATATGAAGGCTGTAATGAATAACTGTTCCTTAGTAAATACAGCAATATCAAATATATAATACGCATTTACCGTGTATTTGCCTAAAACATATTCGATTTCGAACCTTGTTACATGCAAACATATTTTTATGAAGAGTAGCGCCCCTCGGGATCAATATCCGCAGTTTATGAACTGTCGCACGTGCAGCCTGCAATATGTCCGTTGGGGAGACGAAAGTCTTTTTATGAATAACTTCAATGATTTATGAAGTGTACGCTTAACGCATTTTTCTTGCGCCCTTTGATTCTTGTGTAACTGTGAAAAATCAAGGCTCTTTGTATATCTCTATTTTTTAAACTTCTTTATTTATTGACTAAAAAATGTGTATTCATATTTGTCTTTCTATTATATATTTTCGGAAAAGATTAAAAAAAAAGTTTTTTTTTTCAGAAAATACGCGTATAGTAACGTATATATATATATATATATAAAAAACAGACATCTAAATTTTGTACTTCCTTTTTTGAAGTCGCTTGAGTCGCTAAGTTATATTAGTATATAGTTTAACAAGTGCTGTCATGGGCTAAGGCTAGTTATATTTAAGTTATTATTAGAGTTTCTCTCTTCTATGACCTCATTAGCAATAAAATATGCGAATACTTTCACAAATAGTATTGTTCTATGAGAACTATACAAAGATAGAGAAAAAATAAAGTCGTTGAATCTCAATGCACGTTTATTCCTTTATGAAAATAAGCGGGTGCCCGCTCATTTTGGGTTGGGTATGGGGTGGTTCATATCACTTTTATGACTAAGAACGTAGCTAAAGTCCAGACTAAATTGGTTCAATTATTGAATAAATAAAATATGAAAAATGGTTTTATTGTTTCATATAAATATATTTTGTAGCTTTTATCGTTTTGCATTTAAAGATAATTAATTAATGTATCGAAAACAAATATTATTTAATGTATCTCTTAGTGATCTGCCCTTTCTCGCGCACGCCCACGTCATTTACTTTTTTATAAAAGTGGAATTTTCATATTATTTGTAAGCAAATGCCATTTTGTCTGAACCCGCGGGATAGAAATTGTTTGTGCCAATGTGTTTCTATCTGGGAATTATCCATAATATTTTTAAAATTCGACCAGTAGTTCCGAAGTTTACTGAATTGGACTCGTTCCCAGAATTGAGCTGTTGTTGTGTAAAAATAAATTAAAATTTTTTTGCAAGTAAATAAGTAAGTATTAACTTAATATAACCAATTATGGTATGGAAAGCTTAGTTTGATTATTAATTTTGAGTACTTTCTAACTGTGTGTAACGCAGCCTACGTCATGTTTATGCTCGCCAAGGAACCAAAAGGAACTTGCCCCAGTCCTTGGCCCTTAGCCAGACGTGATATTACTTTTGTTTATTATGCTAGCTTGCCAGTTTCTTTTTTATGCACACTAAATTGCAAAATACGTTCAAATCTACCTTTTAAGTAAGGATGTAGCATAAATTTTGAAGGAAAAAGTTTATAAATGTGTTTTAAATTCTTTAGAAAGGATAAAAAATAAACATTAGTGATAAATTTTATTTGTCTATGTTGATCTGTAACGTTGGGTATTGTCAGGTATAAAAAAAGAAACTAGTACTTACTTATAGTCATTATAATAGCTTACTAGCAACTTATAATTGCTCGTTTGGGTTCGTCCCTGGCTACGTTTTAGCGGTTAGTATAGATTTATCAGAGAGTAGCGACTCACTCTCGCTTCGCTCATGTTCGTCCCTAAGTACGTTTTGAGGCTTAGTGTGGAATAGATTTTTTCGTAAATTTTCCGATGTTTTAATAGTTATTTTGCTATTTGGGATGAAGATAAATCCAACAAAATAAAGTTCATAAAAATCGATCTAGCCGTTCTCGAGTTATAAGTATTGTAACAAGCCCGACTTTGTTTTATATAAATTATAAATATATATATAGCATTTACAATAACATTTGCAATAGAGAATTTAAGTATTAGAAATGGTTTTAGACTGATAGTAAGAATAAACTTGAATATTATTCTTGCATGCAAAGAATTCCTTCTATTGATATTTATTGACCCATAGTTTATTCTTCTACAGAAATTTACAAATGGTTAACACAGTACAGCTTGCACATTATTGTTTAGACATTGCTATAGGCAAGGAGCAAGGAACTTAGTGCTGTCGTATAGAATCTGTTGGCTATAATAAATTTAACGGTAAACAAATCTACAGTCAATAAGGCAAATCGAAATCAAGCATGAATAGTATGTAATTACCACAAACTTTACGTACTGAATGAATGGCATAGTCAGTATCTGTTTACCGCTTATGAAGCCTAGATTGCGACCATGAATTTCACCAGAATTACCATTAGGTATGTGTCGATATGGCAGCGATTGTTCAAACGCTTGCTGCCGTGTTTGTGGCTGTTCTGCGGTGGATGTGTTACGATGGCAATTCCACTGCGTCATTGCTCCTATTCCCTATACTTATTACCTTAATTTTCAGTACATAATTCATATCACACTGTACATTGCTGTTTATATATAGCTTATTATTTACTAGTCTATTTAGAGTGCGCAATGGATATTCTGTATATTATTCAGCTAGTTCCCATTATGTTGATGTCGCTTTGTAGTTTCTAAACACTTGTTAAGTGATAGGATATCACCGCATCGGTTTGGTGTCATATAGATTGTGTTTAAATGCTACAACTGTATTTGTTACGGTGAAATTTATTTATGTAGCGGTATTTAATGTTAAATTATTGTTCACATCATTTCTGGGTTATGTGGAGTCATTTCGAGTAGTCCTTTTCCCGCCTATCATATATGATAACAGGTTTTACCGGCAACTTTGAAACGTGCTTAAAAATTGAATAATACTTATCTTTTTCTATTATAAAGGAGATAAAATGTCTTTAATATGTTTTTATTCTTTTAACCCTAATCTTAAAAGCAAAATTGAGAAAAGATCTGGAATAAAGTAAGTGCCAGCACGTACGTTGCTGTGACAATTCGCCACAAATCACCGCTGACATTTGAATCTTTGGAGAATTTTCTTTTTTTACGTAATTTAGATATGGCCTTTTGTTTGAGGCAAGATATTAGGTACTGAGAATATAAGATGAATAACTTTCGTATATTATGTCTTTTGGTACTATTACAAAATATATAGTGTATAAATATATGTATCTATTATATCATAATAATAAGTCTGCCTACCACACATAGCATTGAGTATTTTTTAATAAATGAGTTCAACTTTTTATAAAAACCTAAAAATTGTTTATAACGTATTATTGTTAATCAAAATAATTTTTACTTCTCGTCATCAGGCAAATCGTTTACCCTAACGATAATGCTGGCAACGTCACCCCCTCAAGTGGCAACGTATCAGAAGGCGATCAAGGTGACCGTGGATGGACCAAGAGAACCGCGCTCAAAGACTCGTCATCATGGCTTCCATCCTTTCCACTTTGGACCAAGATTTGCCCCAGATCCTCTTATGGGATCACTACCATTTAAATTATCAGGTAAGGTTGGTTTTTATAATGTTTTATGTATACCACTAAAAACAATATATTTAGTACAAGTAGATTTAGACTTTAGGCTTATTATATGTATAACATTTGAAGTAATAAGCGTATTTTTACAATCATTGTATAAAGTGGATAGGTAGGTATTGTTTGTAACAACTATATAAAGACCTTTGAGATGTCTAAAACCTTAGTTTCCCTCATAACCATGATTGCTATTAAGCGTTTGAAATATCGGGAACTAAAAATAAAAATAAATCTGCGAAAAAATCCGAAAAGATAATTTGATTAAAAATATTAAAAATAAAACCATAAATCTAAGAAAGTATAAGCGTGTCATATAAAGTCAAGTATTATAAATCAAATAAATAATAACATATTAAAAGAAAAAAATATACCGTACAAATAAACAAAGAATACCGTATAAAAATATATCGTTACATAAGTTCCTTATTTCCGCCCTTGCTTCTAAACAACAGAGTCAGAATATTTTGATGACTGTTTCGGTCAATTTCTTTGAGAAGAGCAATCTCATCAGATGTTATACTCGTAGTGCATAAGTATATGTACAGACACGAATGTACTCTCTAACACCACAACTCCTTTCAATTCCAAATTTCAGTGGGACAACAATTTAACACGACCTATGACATATCAGACCGTCATTTTACTGTAGTTTCCAAGCCACGGGAGTATATCATCATACTACTAACCTTCTCAACGCCGGGTTGCCACAGAGAGTTTCTAAACAGGCAAACTTAATAGCTCTACTTTGCCCAATCTGGAACTTAAATCTAGATTTTGGATCCGGAGCCGTACATGCTAGCCACTAAACCGACGAGGCACTACTTTTTAAGATATTTTTTGTGTAAAAGACAAACTAAGAAGTGCAGACAGAAAAAGGCACGACCAGACACATTGTCACGGCGCGGTCAAAGAGTTATATATTTTTCCTATTGAAAATTATCTAGTTACAAAAAACAAAAACAATAAAATCATAATAAAAAGATGAATAGTTAATAACACTGAGGGCTCTCGACACGATCCGAATTTTGTTGGATATTAAATTGTCACCGACCGTTGTCACCCGCGTCCGACGCCTCAAAAGGGTATTTCATTTGGCCCAAAAGTTCCGCGCTGCTATTAATTATCTACTTCCTTAACCCTCTTTTGACACCTGTAAGAAACAGACGTTATAAATAAATTTATTTATTGATATTTCATTTTACTATTTAATTTTTGTTGTGATTGTGATATCAGGTTTCATATTCTGATGTAATTGTGTGGAAGAATTCATGTTTTACTAGCATTGCCCGCGGCTCCGCCCGCGTTCAGATGACCAAAAACCAAATTCTTAGGTTTTACATATTAGTATACTCTTACATTGCAGTTTTTGTAGTTTTCTCAAAAATGAGATGTTTTGATGATATTTTTTCTCAGAAATGGATTATTTGACCCGGATAACCAGCTATCACCATACCAAATTTTATCAAAATCCCTCCAGTGGTTTTTCCGTAATGAGGTAACAGAGAGACAGACAGACAGACAAAAATTCTAAAAACTATAGATTCGGCCTCTGTATCGATAATAATGTCTATTTCAAATAGATTTTCCAAAAAAGGTTTAATTTACAGATTCGGCTTAGTTACAATTTTATTATATGTAGGTAAAGATTTATAGTAAAGGTTAATAAAAAAAATAAAAAAGGAAGTATCAAAATGATCTCTTTCGTAATTTTAAATATTTTCTGCTATTATGATTCATAACGTTTTTATTTAAACAAAAATTTATGGCTTTAAAGAAGTCGACACAAACAGAACACCAATGCATATTACTTGGAATTCTCCTCGTCGCCTAGTTTTCACGTTGCTTAGCATCCCCTCTTTTGCACCTATTGAAGATGAAGCTTGTTATATTTGAAATTGTATGTTGTGAAGTGACAATACTCCTTTGAAAATTACATAATCTGTTTAGTTACTAATGCTCTTTCGAAAAGTTTTTATGGTAAATCTACATTAACAGACCCACTTTTCCTAATCTTATCAATACTAAAATGCTATATGTTACTTCTTTACTATACAATTTCTATAATTTACATATTTACTTGTAAATAAAGTTTTCGTTTTGATAACATATTACACATAATGAGTACTTTTCTCTCGAAATAAAAAGGTTTCTACAAACTAGAGGAAGGTGGTTTGAATAAAAAAATATGATAAAAATGATACATTTTTATGTAACTATTAAAAATATTCAGTTAAAGGATATCTGTGTAAACTAATAATGTTTTAGTTTCTAGTTAATAAATATTAGTTTTCTGTGAGTGACTAAGTATTATTTGATCATGGGGTAAACGATTTTATATACTAAAAATGAAGCATAATCATAGGTTAATCAGACAGATAGACTGCTAGTATTTCAGTTAACTGCTGTGATTTATACATGTATAAGATATCATAATATAATATTCTACCGCTATCTATATATATCTAATCCCTCCACGACCGCGAACACGCCGGCGTTACAGTTAACAATAGATGTCTTAGAAATTTACCTGGAGGTGTTAATATACTTGTCAAAATACCTATTTTAAAATACATACCTACATAGATCTGTACATAAAATTGTAATAGAATAAAAATTAAACATCTAACTAAGCCTTCAGACTTGAACTTAATTAAGTTAATCATAAGCAAATTCAGATACCTATACCATTTTATTTATCCTATGGTTATATAAGCAATGAAACATAACGTTAAATTCAATTAATTCATCTATTGATGATAAAGATTGGCAACATATAGTTGATATAAGTTACCAACAAAATGCTAACTTGAAATTTCAACACGCCAGGCTAAACTTTCCTTAACGCAATTTATAGGTGTGGGGTGTTGTCACCTTCATTGTATCGGAAATAGTGTAGGAGCTACGCAGTAAGGAAACCTGGTTAGGGCGGGCGTCAAAGGCCCTTAACTCAATTATATACCTCGCTCTCTTACTAATAGCTAAAGATACGGGAATTACTAAAAGCAGAACTAAAATAGGTTTTGATAATTTATGTTTTCGAACATATAATCGAAGTAATCAATAAAGATAATTTTAAAAAATATAATTTATTATAATTTACAGAAATTGTGTTTTCGTTAGTTGTTTTTCTTATGGTAAGAATATGTTGGTTAAAGTTGTTAGGTAATTTATCACTGGTTACAAAAAGAGCTTCTGTGCTCTTGTTGTACTTGACAAGGACTTAACATATCTTTAAACAATTTGCAGTACTTCAATATATAATTTGTCTAAGCATACAACTAAATGACTCGCTGCCCTGCACCAATAACCCTTCCAAAATCATGATAAATTACCCGCACTCACGTTTACGCACGGCCTTCTTTCTTGGCACGAAGTTAAGAAAAATTGGATGAGGCATTATCTATAAACGGTCTCCTTATAAAATACCATATTTAAAAATAAATCCACAATGACTTATTAAATACAATTTCAAATTAAGTTTATTTAAAATAAATAACAAAATTGCGAAATCAATTAATTAACTGCCTCTTGGACTAAATTATAATTATAACATAACAGTAAAAAGGTTATTTTTTGTTATATTATTTTTTATATTGTAAAAGTATTTAAGTGTACCGAAAATTTTAAAACTATATACCTTATAATCAAGTCTTGCAATTTATTTTCACATACCTACTTAGTAAGCACTTAGTTAAAAGTCAAAAAGATTTTTACACAATTATTTGTAATTATTCTAGAGTGAAAGACAATGTCCTTTTATATATTTTGTACATCCACGTTTTTCGCGTCACATCGCCGTGTGAGCGCCACTTAAAGTCGCAGCCTTCGCATTATTAATGAGGGAGCCTTAGAGAAAATTAAATATAGCATTAGGCCCGGAAGCCCGGGATTGAGGGGAGAAGGGGGGAAGAAAGAGCAGGGGCATAACCCTTCCACCCGCCGCGCGACAATGCGGGTGCATAATTACGCATTTGTAAATTTTAAATGTCCCACCCACCTCATACAGCCTTTTGTACGGCGTGATTCGCGCTTTTACCCGAGCCTTTAAACGCTTTCAAATGAATTCGTATGATGATGACGCGAGCTCGATTAACTCTAAATGCGGATAATTTTCACGATATCATATATATGCTTTACAATGTAAATGAAAAGTTTTCAATAATTTACGAAATATGGAAGTACGCAATAAGTGTTATTAAAATTCGTGCTGCAAAGTTGTTTTGAAAAGCCCACTCACTCTCATATGTAGAAGACAATAAACATGCAAATGAGTCAACAATTAATTGCTTTTAGACAATAAAATATATGTAATAATATGTAATTAATAGAGAATTATGATTTATGATATTTGGTGATATTATAAAGTAAGCAATCTAACCGTTCAGCCTTGTCACTTGACACAGAAAGGTTAATTAAGCTAAACAAAAAGGGGTTAAACAAAATCAATAGAGGCAAATTCATTAAGTGCTAAGCAGATTGAAATCCAACATGGCGCGCAAGATGGCGGCAGCGGGTTAAGGCGCGTTGACAAAGCGGCGTCGTTAGTTCGCGAGCCCTCTTATTAACCTTATGATGTACGGGAGGCATCCGTCTTGGCTAACGTCAGCATCACATGGTTTTACTTAAACTACACTATAAATTGGGATATTTTTGCCTTACATATATATACAATATCCATAGTTAAAAAGTTCAGCAAGCTCTAAAAAGCCGCGTAATAAAGTAACAGTTATAAAATTTCAAATTTACTCTTGCGAATAATTAAGGAACATCGAAAGTATAATTTTATCAATACTCGTATTAATTACATTATGCTGTGACATCTAAAAAGCTTTATTCTCGCTATTTGATTAATATTAGGTAACTACTATTAATCAAAAAGCACTACATAAAGGTACTGTAGTGTATAAACATTGTTTTCTACCTACATAAGTATTTAGGATTTATGTAATGTCAAAATTTAGTTATATTTT